TGCAGTTCCTTCACCACCTTTTCGTCCTCGTAAAACAGCACTGTACCAGCACCGGGAAGAAAAGACTTGTTTACTTTCTGTTCTGTGGCAGCGAAGGCCTCTGCGGGAATCATGGGCTTTAGTGTATTCTTCACAATTTCCCACAATTTCTTGTGGTGTTCCCCATAAAGAAGAAGAACCCGTGAAGACTGGGAGTTGAATGGTGATGGGGATTCCTTTACCACCGCCTTTATTAACTCGGTCACCTTTTCTTCTTTCAGAGGCAATTTCTTACCCAACGCATAAATTGAGCGGCGTCCCTTCAAAGCTTTCAGCACTTTATTTGTCATTATTATTTTTTTATTTGACAGTTGGCTTTTACGTGTAGATTTGCGATTTGTGTGCTTGTAGTCTACACACAGTACATGTGATAGAAGCAGAAAAAAAAAGGAAGAAAGGAAGAAAGGAAGAAATAAATAAATAAAAAGAGATGAAAGGAGAGGGAAAACAACGGAAAGAAACAAAAAAGATAATCAAGAGGGAGAACAACTCACTACACGTCCGGAGTTATTTACTGTAAGACTAATGTTGAAATGTATTCATTAAATATATGTCAAGGTTGCTATGATCTGGTATATGCAGATCCAGTGGTTTCTTTCAGCCATCCATTGATTAGTGCGATCTCTACCAATTTCTTACAACACTCATCTTGCCATCCGGCAAAGGCATTGTACCATATAGGATTATTGCGCATCTCTCGTTGTACATTTTCTACTGTATTGTTGGTAAATTTGCCTAATGCACAGAGTGCTGCTGCTGCCGCCGTTTCTGCTTCTATTTCAGTTATAACAGTTGTACGCACATCATCATCTTCCTGTGGTGTTTTCTCCTTATCACAAATATTATCTCCAGTATGAGTAAGAAATATTGGTGCTGGTGATGCTGTGGGAGAAGAAAGCAATGGAGGGAAATCCTCTTTTTCACAATCAGAAGTGAGTGAAGATCCAGTAGTGTTAGACTCTAACGGATCATGTCGTTCTTCTTGTAGTGTATCACACCCGTTATCATGTTCTTGAGATGTTTTGTTTAATAGTGCTGTTGGCAATTGTACAAGATAGGAACCTTTGTTAGACTCTATTGAATCGATATTTCTCTCATACACTATACCTTGTTGATCTTCTTCTTTTTTAACTTGTGTCCTATTCTTCTCTCTTCTTTTTTTGTTATCTCGGAGTCTCCATATCCTTTTTTCGATAAGACACATACGATGACCAAGTATACGGCGTGCACTGTGATCCCTATTGCATAGTACTCTATACAAAACTTTTGTTGCAGTATATGCGCTCTGCAGTCGGCATGGATGAATTATACGGACATAATTGTTGATTTCCAGATGTTGAAGTGCTTCCAGCACTATGCGTTCGAGTTCACCCCACCAGGGTTGTGTTTGCCCCTCATGGTAACTAGTGATGGCATCCTCTGTTAGGCGATCACATGAGACCCGCAACGAACTATGTCCCTTTATTTGCACTACTCCATTATTATTATTATTATTATTATTATTATTATTATTATTACTATCAGTATTAGTGTTATTATTATTAGTATTAGTAGTATTATTTCTTGTTGTTGTTGCTGCTGCGGCCGCGGCGGTTGCAGCGACTGTTGTTGCTGTTGTTGTTGGTGTCATTGGATTGGTGGATAATACACTTGTGTACGATCGTGATCCAATAGAAAGTGGTGAAACAATTCGTGCCTCATTGCCTTGCGTAACTGAAAGAACTGCGGGTGAAGACATTCGATGAGGATTGGCGTACTTTAGTGATGGACTTTGGGCGATGTCCGTTTCATTTACCGCCGCTGCTAAGAATGATCCCCCACCTCCTACTACTACTGCTGGTGCTGCTGTTGCTGTTGTGGATGATGTTGATAATGTTGTTGTTTGGAGATTTATAAAGTTAGGTATACATGGTATTGAAAACGGTGAGGTTATCGTTTGTGCGGGACTCAGTGGTGATAAGAGACGATCTCGTTTATGGACTTCCTCCTCCACAGCCTCATAGCCGGTGGCGAGAATATGTACAATGCTGGCAATGGTCCGTTGTCCATCTATAGTTTTAAACACATCATGTACAGCTAAATCCGCCCATTCAAATAACTCCGGTGAATACTCGGCAATGGGAATAGGCACTTCATCTAATGAGTGAGAGGGTGGTGGGTGGGGTTGGACCATGCGGCCTACATGAAAGGAATGCATTTCAGAAAGACGTACAGATAAAATACGTTCCTTTAATGACATTTGCTCTTGTTGTTGTTGTTCTTCTTCTTTTTCTTTTTCTTTTTCTTCTTCTTGATGATAATAATGATGATGGGATGATCGTTTCGATTTATGTGGTATACATTGTCCATTATCTATAGTAGATTCTCTTTCTACCTTAATGGCTGCCTCATCACATGACAAACATGCATATAAGGTTTCAATCATTTGTTCTAATGGTGTCCAATGTAAAGCGGCGGGATCCTGCAATGGTGTTAAGAAGACATTCACACGTGTCATCCCTTTAATAGATGGAGATGCGAAATCATCACTTGTTGGCATTGGGGCAAACACTGTACTTGCTGTAGGTGTATTCATAATACTCCCATTCCCAACAGAGGCAACAGTTGTAGGAATGGTAAAGGAATGTAAATCCACAGCACTACTACTACTATTATTATTATTATTATTATTATTATTATTATTATTATTATTATTATTATTATTATTCTCTCCACATCGCTGTGCATGTCCACCACCCGTTGTATCCGTTGAGAGTTCCATCTCCGGTTTTGTATGGCGAAAAGATGAAAAGGAATAACATGAAAACGTCCCTGTACGGGCGAGTCCACGAGACATATATCCATGCAATTCCTCCGCCTCTCGCAGTTCACCAATAATACTCGTCAACACCACACTATATGGTCTTACCAGTCGTTCAGTAAGTAAGGCATTACTAGTCACCAGTGATGGATCCACCGCAAAGACAAAACAAAGTGAGTAACGCAAGGTCTTGCGTTGATAGTGTACACCCGCAATCTCTTCAGGATAGAAAAGATAAAATAAACCGGATTCGGCTTCATAAAGATACAAAACACGACGACAGAATTCAGATCTTGGCACAAATACATCACTAAATCCATTCAGACGATCAGAAGCACAAGACTCATGAGGGGATGAGGCACTATTTGTAGTAGAATGGTTAATATGATTATTATTCATACCCCCACCTCTAACATACATCTTATTCGAATAAACATCATAATTGTTCACATCTTCACTTTTGTGGGTCTGTGAAGGAGTCTCAAAGGGATTCACAGGGGCATAACAGTGTATGTACGGTCCCTTCACTACATCCAGTGCTATGAGCAATACACTCTGGAGACGGAACATCCCTAAATCACACACATGCACAGAGACTGGAACAATGAGAGTGAAATAGGGAGAGGGAAAGAGAAGTATATATATATATATATATATATATATATATATAGAGAGAGAGAGAGAGAGAGAAAGAAAGAGTGATAGAAAGATAATAAAAGTACTACAAAAAAGAAAGGAAATGGACGAAAAGAAAAAAAAAGGAAAAATATAAACAATACTTGTTTATATAAACAGTAGTAAGTGAGAAGATGGATAAAAAGCCAACAGTAGCAATATTAGCAGTAGTAGCAACAGAAATGATGAGTACAATAATGGAAATACCAGTACTCCCACACACCTCGTATTTCCCCTTCTATTGGGTATAATACACTCAGAAGAGCGAAAGGAAAAATTATAACAACAATAAAAAGAATTCTGTATTAATAATTATAAACAGTGAAAGTAAATATACGCGAAAGCAAGAAAAAAAAAAAAATGAAATACTTTAGCTTTCAAAACTACCAATTATACATGGCATAAATATATGTATATATATAATTTTTTTTTTATTCTACAGAACTTCCAGAGAAAAAAAAAAAAAAATGAGCAATGCTCTAAGTGATACATCCCTTATCCAAGTTACACTCGTTTCTCTTTTTTTTTTTTCTATATGAGTCACCGGAACGGGGGGAATAGAATAATAATAATAATAATAATAATAATAATAATAATAATAATAATAATAATAATAATAATAGCATTCGTATTATTTTTTTTTTTGGTTATTGAAGGGATCCTCAGAGCATCCTTAATGAGTAGCAGCTGCAGTTACATCCCCCACCCTCTCTTCCACAAGAACAAAACAAAAAAAAAAGAGAAAAAGAGAAAAAAAAGAAAGAAAACTGTATACATTTCTTATTCTTTATCTATCCATCTATTCATGATGCTGTTGTGTACCCAGGGTATTATCCCCATGTTCATTCCCAGAAGTAGTGGTCCTATCATTGTCCATAGTAGTATTAATAGTATTAATAGTAGTAGTATGAGGATATATCTTAGGATCTGGAGAAGAAGAAGAAAACTCATCCATCTCCGGAGAAACACCCCCGCGTTGTAATTTTGTGATTTGACGATGAACGGCACGAAGAGATTCATTTCGTTGACGCACCATTTCTAATAATTCCTCATTTAATCGCCGCACATCCCTTTTTTGTCTTTCCAATACTTCCTTTTCACGTTGTGCCTTTTCCATCCAACTCTTATCATCATCATCCCGTTCAATAGTGAGATAGACATCGGCATCATGTAGTTTAGATTCCATTACACGTTTTTCTAATTCAAAATAGGCGGATTGTAATTGTTGTAATTGTTGAGATAATTGGGTATATCGTTTTTCTGAGATATCACGATCCGACTCTAATCTCTCTATATTTCTTGACATGAAATTTACTTTATCTACGGCTTCACGTCTGGCCATTTCTGCCCGTTGCATTTGATCTCTAGCCTTATCGGTATTATTACATTCTTCATCTAATGCTTTGCGAAGTGTTGTCACTACTTCCTCCAACTCATTTACACGATCTTCATAATCTTTTACAATTTGTGTACTTTCCTTTAATGTGGCCTTACGATCTTCTCGTACACGGTGTAATTCTGAGAGGAGTTCCTCCTTTTCTCGTTGTACCGATCGTGTTTTTTCGATCTTATCATTTCGTTCCTTTTCGAGTTGGGCATGTAATAATCCAATCTCTTCTTGATATTGTACGACTTGTTGAGCTAATTGCTTTTGTTTTTGTTCTTGTATAGATTTCTCTCTCTCTGTTTCTTCTTCATTAAGTGATATGGTGTTAGGGGTAACTTCCATAGAAGCCACATTAAAGGTATCCTGTGATGCCTGTACCTCAACAATCTTTTGAATTAAGGTTTCATTACTTTTCTGTAAATGTCCCAATTCATCTCTTAAATCATCTACTTGTCGTAAAAGACGTTCACGAACACTTTCACTATTACTTAATGCTGTTTGTAATTTAAGTTTCTCTGCAATTTCCTTTTCATACGCTTTCTCTATTGTTTCTACCTTACGACGCAGATGTTGAAGTTCTTCTGTTGATACCACTTCAGTTGCACGAAGTTCCATGAGTTCCTCATTTGCAGCAGCAAAATTAAGTTGATATAATAATCCTCCTTGTCGAACTAATTCTAACATCGTAGTAAGATATTCCTGTTCCAGTAATACACGACTGTAGGCTTCATCTCTTGTGTAATCGCATAGTAACTGTTCCCACAAAAAGTCATCATCAATAACAGGATTACTTTTATCAATGGTATTGTTATTATTATTATTATTACTATTATTATTGGCACTATCAGTTTCTTTTCTTGCAGAGGATGCATGAAGAAATAATACGGTTATACCTAATAAATCCCGAAAGTACCGTAATCGCATATAATAACGCTCTGAAGTTTCCGTTTCTTCTAATAATAATTGTTCTAATTCTGTGATATCACGTCCTTTTGCTGCTGTTTCCTTTTTGAACTCTGTTACCTGTTGAGCCATCTTTGATAATCTTAACAAGAGATTCACATTTGTTTGCTTCTCATTAAGATAATCCGCCCGTGCCTTTTCTAATTGAGTGGTGAGTTCACGTTCACGTTCGGCTGTGGAGTTTTCTCCCCGTTCCACACGAAGTAATGTGCGAGTGGCTGCCAAGTCTGATTGTGTGATATCTAATGCGTTTGTCTTTTCCACCAATCGACTCTGCAATTCCTCTAATTGCCGTAATGTATCCATGTGTTCCTGCTGAAGTGTTTCCATTTGTTTCTGTAAAGCATTACGGGTCTTGTCCACATCCTCCCGCTTTCGCCGCTCTTCTTTGATATCTTTTGTTAATTTCTCCACACGAAGTTCCAAATCTTCACGACGACGTGAGGGCTCTGCAATCACAGCAAGCGGGGCTGGTGGTTGTAGTGATGATGAGATTAATGTCTGAGCCGCAGGAGTCTTAGTGGACCATCCTCTAGTTGAAATTCCTTCTACTCCTTTTTGTTGTTGTTGTTGTTGTTGTTGTTGATAGTGTTGGACTTGTGGAGGTGAAGTCTCTCGCCGTACGGTTTCTTCACGATATCGTCGTCGCCACTCTTGTAGTTCACTATCTTTATTAACAAGTAATTCATTTAATTTCATTACTTCTCCACGTTTCTGTGCGAGTTCCTCACGAAGTGCGGTTGTTGTTGAGATGAGTTGTCGCTGCAGTTGATTTTTCTCTTTATGTAGTTGGGCGTTTGCTTCTTCTAAATCCGATGCTCGTCTCTGTACAGCCACCATTTCTGTTCCTGGCACCATTGTTAACAAGGAGGCTCGCAAAATAGATAATTCCTGTTGCAATTCATCTCTCTCTCGACGGAGGGCGCAGATCTCATCATGATGAACTTCTGCTGCCTTTCCTTCTTCTAATTGTAGTGTTAGTTTCACAATTTGTTGTCGTAAGGAGGCGATAAGTTTTTGAAATTGTTTATCCTCATTTACAGTAGCCACATTAATCACCTTCTTTGCCACTCCAGCAAATCTTAATGTGTTGAGTGTCTGTTGATAACATGCCGCACTTGGAGCCACTGTAGCCAACATAATAGTTTTACTATTTCCACCCAAACTATCAGCGAGAAGCCATGTGAGTACACTATCACGATACGCCGGCACCACATTCCGTCCTGCTTGTTTATCTGTGAGTTGCAACATCACACGTCCAAGTGTGGTGAGAGATAAATTAATATTCCGTGCCTCTTCAAAGCGATCTCCAGTGGCACCAGACTGCGATACCCGTTCACTACCAGCAAGATCCACTAAACTAACTTTACACACACGTGTCTTGGGTACTACCACATCTGCTGTTCCTACAAGAGAAATACGTGTAATGTGTAGTTGTAATAAGGCGTGACTACGACTACTGTGTTCATTCATTCGGGTCTCTGCAGTGGCCCGTTCACGCAATCCACTCACGAGAAGCCGCATGGCCGCCTTCGCATCTCGTACCTTCACAAGTGAAAGACCCTCTACAAATGGACCACGTGTGGGATGTTGACGAATACGTAAAGAAGAAGAAGAAGAACCGGATGTAGAAAATCCACCACCACCACCACCGCCCATAGTTGTACTATTATTCGTATTCATATTAGTATTAGTATTAGTAGTAATAGTAGTGTTAATAGTAGAAATACTTGTATTCGTTGTAGGACCTGCACTACCACTACCACCCGTAGTAGAAAGAGCCGTACTACTAGATGTCACGGCATAACTACTACTAGCCTTATGGAATGATCCACCACTGGATGTATTTTCTTTATTAGCACTATGAAGAAGTAAATCTCTTACTCGTTCACAGTAAATCTCTAAAAACCCACATTCCACATTAAATGAAACACTTTCATCTTCTTCACGTTCCTTTCGCATCATATCAAAGAGATCTTCACATAAACGAGGTAATATACCACGATCGGTAGAGTTTATAGTAAACCCTTCAGGTGGTCCCATCATACTATGTGTCTTTCCACTTCCTGTTTGTCCATATGCAAAGAGACAGGAGTTAAATCCCGTCATGGCAGATTCATACATACGTGGACCAATGAAATCATACACAGAGGACTGATCATCATATTCCGGAACCTCTGCAAAACACGGTAAATGAGCAAACTGCAATCGTGAAGCCGCAGCCGCCGCAGAGGAGGAGTCTGTTAATCCAGTGATACTACTACTCCTACTCGTACTTACCGTTCCCATTCCAGGAATAATAGATCCCGCACGGGAGACGGCCACGGAAGACATTCCATCTATGAAAGAAATTCGTGGAGACTGCGTTGGTGGAGAAACACCAGACATGCACAGCGGCAACACATGCGGTGGAATACTCCAGAAGATTTTATCAAATGAAAAGGCGTGTTGTTGTCCACTACCGCAGACATTACTACCGACATCTGTGAGAGTAATGCTGTGGGTATCGGGAACTGTCACTGTACACTCTAATGGGGATTCGCGTGTGTTGAATGGACGAACACGAACGGCCACAAGTACTGCAGATGTCTCAGAGGCCATGGGAATGAATCCCTCTACTTTTTCTTTTTTCTTTTTTTTTTCTTTTGGTTTTTCACTATATCAAATCTATTTCTTTTTATACGTTCTTATCTCTTCTCTTTTATATATACGTATATAAATACGTATTTTTTTTTTTTTTTACTTTTTATACTTTCTTCTTCTTCGTCTTCTTTTTTTTGGTTATTTGTTGTGGTTTATTTATCTTTTGCTTTTTCTATTTACACCCAAATCCCTCTGATATTCTATGAAATATGGGTGTACTGTTTGCGGTGAGACTGCCTATTGACGGGCAAACAGTGACAATATCCTCACATTATCCATATATATATATATATATATATATATATTTATTATGAAGATAG